GGTGCAGAGAGGCCTTGCAAGGGAAGAAGAGGCTTGACTCTGATGCACATGAACTCAAAAGCATGGAGAACCTCAGAGTGAGAGACACAGTTGTGATGACCCGTCCAAACATGGACTGAAACACACAGCTGATTTCTTTTTTTTTTTTTTTTTTTTTTTTTTTTGGCAAACAGGGCCTTAAGGTCCTGGCTCCTTCTATTCTGGGGAGAGTCCGGTTCCTATTCCCCCGGCAAGTCAAAATATATATTACATCAATAAAGACACACACTTCCTTCCGTCAGGCCGAAGGACCCCTGAACAGCATTGATTGCTCCACCGCGGTGGAGGATTGACTGTCAGCTTGCCCTGTCGCTCTCTTCCCTCTCAGACTTGGATTCTGAATCAGCTAGATAGTGCCACTTACCTTGGAAGGAGCTCGTCCGTTGTTTTAATCGACCTGTTACCTCCCTACACACTTCTCTTCCCCTTTGAAAGATCAACCGTCAAGACTTAAACCCTAAATCCTCAGTCTGTGTTCCTGTCCTCCAAAAACATCAACCTTAGACCTGGCAGGACTTCATTTGCTTACATATGTTTGTGCTAAGATTCCCTTTGCAAGCTCTGTTCATGGTCCAGCACTATCCTTTTCTCCGAAATGTCCACCTTTCTCCCACGTTCCCCCCTTTCCTAGGCTTATCACCATCCCTGGCTGTCCTTCACCGGAAGTGATGATATTCGTTGAGCGTTTTCAATTAAAAATCTGACAAGGGGGAACCTTGTCCCTGCATTGTACTCTGTTGCCCCTCTCTTCCTCCTGCATTTGAGATATGCCAGTCCTTCCAACGAATGTTGTCATCCCTCAGTTCAGCCACTTTGTCGTCGACCAACCGGACTTTACTGAAATTCTGTCTGGCCTTGTTTCGTTGTTCCTCGTCTTTGGACCATGACTGTTTGATCCTCCTCCATCTGCATAGAATCTCAGCCTGAATCATTGTCTTCGTCTCCGCCCAGACCAATTCGCGAGAGTTGGATATTTCTTCGATCGTTCTGCTGCATCTCTCCTTCCATATGACCCAAAGGGTCACCTTCCTGATCAGTCCGAACCAAACTTTTTCCGCTTTCCGGAGTTGTTGGGGTATGTTAATAAGAAGAAGGATTTGGATGGGTTTTTCAGGAAAAGGGGAAGGGAACAGGGAGTTCCAGAGGGTCGCGGCTCTTGCCCAATAATCCGTCGCCTCCCTACAGTGCAACACACAGCTGATTTCTGAGTTTTGCCCATAGACTGAATGCCCTGCTGAGTTTCCCGCTTGCTACTAAGTCTGTGTGTGCATGCTTGCTGGACTGCATGTCTGTCTGAGTGTTGGTTGGCTTGAGTGTGTGTGTGGCCGTGCCTGTCTGAGTGCTGGTTGGCTTGAATGTGTGTGGCCGTGCCTGTCTGAGTGGTGGTTGGCTTGAGTGTGTGTGTGGCCCGCAAGGGCACTTGCTCGTTCATTGGGCCCTCAGGGCCGGTACTTACCTGTGGCCGTGACATTGAGGGATTGCAGCAGGAAAAACATTCAAGTAGCGGGTAGGCCGGTACCGCACCATGAAGGGGTAGATGTGCGGGTACCGCAGGCCGAGCAGAAGAAGACAAAAGTGGCATTTTTAGAGGCCCAGTAGTTGTAGGTTAGGTCTAGGCGGATATCAGTCCAACCAGTCTGGGTCTAGGGCCTGTACAGGCAATATCAGAGTCTGCAATGATGTTTCCCTCCGAAAGGGAGGAGGTACCGGTTGCTTGGAAGGCCGAGCGGCCTGGAAGTCACCGCCCAAGAGGCAAATCAGGCCGCTATATCTTCCGGCCGGGTGGAGAGTCCGGCCTCTTTTTCGGTGTGCGAGTTTGACGACACACTGGTGGAGCGCTGGCTGGAGCAGCGCTATGCTGGAGCAGCGCTGCTGGGGAGGAAGGAGAAGGACAGGAGGGAGGAAGAAGGAAGGAAGGGGGAGGAGCGCCAGGGGTACTTACCTGGCTATGGTGGCAGCCATCTTCATCACCTTGGTGGGCGCTGCAGCAGGGAGTCCCCAACGGGGGAGAGCCACCAAGAAGCTTCAAGGCAGGGTCAGGCATGGCGGCCTGAGCTAGAGCAGCCATAGCTGCTTTGGGTTGTCCTTTGGGCATCTGGGCAAGGCCTAGTAGTCCGCCATAGCCTCGGCCTATGAGAGTGAAGAGTGGGAGAGGCGGCCATGGCTATGGTGGACCTCAAGTGATACCTGCAGTAGAAGAGGACTCGGACATTGATTTTGGATCAGTTTCTGGACCCACGACAGGTCCATCACATCATTGTACTGGATTCGAACCCATTTCCGAAAGTTGGGGCCCACCCCCATTTTTTCCATGCTCCCGTTGAAAAAGGCCCAGTTGACTTCTCATGTGTGTTGGTTACCTTAGGCTCTGCTTTGAGGGGGGCCAAGGGGCTTAGGTGGGATGGGGTCCCGTTGGGGGAGAGGGTTGGCTTGCGACAAGCTCCGCTAGAGGATATCGGTGGGGAACCTACAGTAGGGGATTGTCTTAACGGATCCCGGTAGGAGGGGTGTTGGTAGACAAACTTTGGTGGAGGAGATCGTTGGGGAACGTGCAGTTGGGGCTGTCTGAGGGGGATCCTCCAAGATAGGATGATCTGTGTCCCATAGATTAGTTGTTGACTGTAGATACAGGTCAATGGGTTGCTATCAGTCTGCTATCTGATTTCACGTTCAGTCCGATAGGGGGACCCGCTAGCCCTCTAATTTTTCTCTTTGTGATGGAGGCAATAGCCTCATTCCTACGTAAAGAACCCTCGATCCATAGACTACTGGAGCTTAATGTTGGTAAGCCCGATCACCTGTATTTCCCGACAGTAATAATGTTTGCAGATGACCTCACTGTCCTCATTTGAGCCTCTGATTCATCATTCATTGTGTTAGTGACAACAATGAAAGCTTTCAGATTGGCATCAAAAATAAAGATTAACTAGAAGAAAACAATAGGATGGTAGTTATCTGATAGCGAGGTCCACCGACATAACGTGGGAGAAACCTGAGACGCCCACACGTTATTTGGGCATCTTGTTTACAAAAGATGGTTTTGCACCTCAAACGGCTCAAAACCTACTCCCTACTCTTGACCTGAGCATCCATAAAGTCTATGGACACTGAGTCTCCCGGCTGATCAGGAATGGGCAAAGGTCTGAGAAGCGCTAGAGGGGCACGCGTAATAGTTTTATTCCTCTGGCATACTTTACAACTGCGAACATACTCTATGCAGTCATTCTTCATCCCTGGCCAGGTGTACGCACACATCAGATTGGCTAATGTCTTTTGCCAACCAAAGTGTCCCTAAGTGTCATGGCATTCCCCTAGGATCAGACTGCGAATTTCCTCACTGTTGAGAGCGCATAAGCGGTCGAATACATCCGTCTTCTCAAACAGCAATCCTTCTGTAGTGCGGTAGTGTGGTTTGGTCTCTGGGGCCTCCTTCACTCTCTTGAGGAGGTCACTATAGATAGGGTCCGGTGAACACGCTTGCCTCACTTTCTCTTGCAGGTCTCTCCCTATATCCAGATAGTGTACTATGGGTCCAAAGTAGTCTGATCTCCTACTCAGAGCGTCCGCAACTACGTTGTACTTGCCCTTCACTGGCTTGAGCTCAAAGTCATACTGGTCTATCTTCGCGGCCCACCTAGTTAACTTAGGTGTCATCTTGGCCTGAGTCTTTAACCATCTAAGTGTCTCATGATCATAATACACTTTGAAGTGCCTCCCAAGCAGATAGTGCTTCCAATGGTCTAAAGCCTACCTGAGAGCGTAGAGTTTTCTCTCGTACGTCGAGGTAGCTACCTTCTCTGAGGGCATCCTCGCTGACATGAACTCTACGGGTTTGTAGCCATTGTCGTCATCCTGCTGTAACACGGCGCCTATACCATACTGACTTACGTCCGTGGTGATGACAAATGGCAAAGACGGATCAGCTACTTTGAGGACAGGGTACTCTATCAATGCGCGCTTTAACTTCTTTAGCGCAGACGTACAGTCTTTGTCCCATTGCCAGATTGCCTCTTTCTTTAGCAACCTGCGCAATGGAGCGGCGATAGTGGAGAAGTCCCTCACGAACTTCCTATAGTAGTTAGCTAGGCCTAGGAACGACCGCAACTCAGTCAACGTGCGGGGCGTCGGCCAATCTCTAATTGCCGCTATCTTGCTGTCCTCTGGCTTAATGCCATCTCCGTCTAATACGTGGCCCAAGTACAGAACTTGTGTCTTGGCCCACTCGCACTTCTTCGCGTTGATCTTGAAGTTTGACTCTCTCAACTTCTCCAAGACCTGCCTGAGATAACCCTGATGCTCCTGGAGGGTCTTGCCGAAAACTAATATATCATCTAGATAAATACTACAAACTTATCTAACGTCTAAACAGATCATTCATACAACGCTGAAAGGTGGCTGGCGCGTTGGTTAGTCCACAGGGCATCACTATGAACTCGTAGTGCCCATATCTAGTCCGGAATGCAGTCTTGTACTGATCATCAGGATGGATCACTATCTGATGATACCCGGACTTCAAATCTATCTTAGAAAAATACTTGCAACCCTGCACCCGATCTAGAATTCCTTCTTGGGGACAAATAGGACAGGTGCTCCAAAAGGAGACGAACTGGGCCTGATCCAACCTTTCTCGAGGAGCTCGTCTAACTGCTTGCGTAGCTCCTCTAACTCTCTAGGGGACATCTTGTAGACTGCTCCCTTAGGAGTCCTACTGCCAGGCTCTATCTCTATCCGGTGCTGGATGGGTCGCACACTACTCCTGTCGGTGACTCAGTCAAGTCTTTGAACTCCTCCAGCAGCTTGGCAATGGTTGGATCTGTGGAACTAACTTCTTCCTTAGCCTCAGCGACAGGTCTAACATAAACTACAAAGACCTGGTCCTCTAACTGCTCCTTTTTCACTAGTTGCGCGAACGCGGGAACACTGAGACAACAGTGTGCCAGAGTGTTATCTACACTTGACACATGAAACAGGCGGGCAGTCTTAACGTCACCTACACTCATGCTCTCTCAAGTGGAGTGTGGCCCCTGCTGCCTCTCCCCAATCCATTCCTAACACCATGTCAAAAGGAAGGTCATCCTGAACGAGGAGAGTCAGGGAATGGAGAACTTTCTCCACCTTCCCATCCTTCTCTAGGCGAACGTACGCCTGGACTCCCTCTACGTAGTCCTCAACACGCATTGTGCGGTTGTCTGCGAGGACACTGACTATAGGGTCTGCTAACTTTTGGACTTTTAATCCTAGCCTCAGCTTCTTCAGTGCTCTACGGCTAATGTAACTGCGGGTGGCCCCTGAGTCTATCAGGGCCCCTACTCTACTTCTAAACACTTCTACATCTACCAAAATCAGTTGTTCCTCCTTCATTTTGGCCCAGGCTGGCATCCTCTCCTTCAGCTCTTCTGCCACACCTGTGATGGACGTGCCTAGAGAGACGCTAACACAAGCGGTCTCTGGACAGCTAGCTAGGCACGGGCCTGCAACCTCTGCCATAGGCTCATGTGGTTTGGGAGCTTCCTGTTCGCGCGCGCTCGCTTCCCCACATGGCCTTGAAGTAGGGGCAGTTGCGACCCCTACTGGCGGCTGCCTTTTGACTGGTGAGCAGCCCAACGGGCCTGTCTATATTGTGGACAAAATTTAATTACGTGGGCCGGGTCACCACAAAACACACACTGACCCAAGTTCACGTGTTCCTGCCATACGCGCTGGTCCAAGCCCAAATCTTCCCAGGGCCTGCCCTGTGGCAAGCCTGGGTGCCATCCTCGTGGAGGCGACCTTCCACATCGTCGCTGCAGGGACCGACAAGAACCTTGACGATTTGGCGGGGGACCTTGACCCCTACTTCCCACTTGGCGGTTCCCTTGTCCGCCAACCCCCTGTGCGCCCGGTCCTCGGCCTCCCATGGCCTGGCCCCTTCGGCCCTGGCCTCCTCCTCTACCTTGCGGCCTCCCTCCAGCCGCGACAACAGCATAGGACCTCCCCTCCCCCACGCTACTGTTCTCCTCCTCAAGGCCCCATTCGAGCTGACTGTATGGGACCTCATCTGTACCACCTTCCTCTAAGGTAAGGATGATCCTTGGCCCTCACTTGGCCTGAGATGGTACGGCCTTTCCACTTCTTCCCCTTGTCCAGGTCCTTATGCCAGAAAGTGGAAACTGGCATGGACTTGGCCTCAAACAGCACCACCTCTCTACTGAGCGCATCGTACGTCATGGTGGGCTGTTGGGACTTGTCAAAGAAGTGCCCACGCAGGGGCTCTGGCATGGCACGATAGAATAACTGGACCAACTGGGACTCAGTCACCCCATGGTCCGGGACGGCCACCAGGTCGTCCATCACTGCCTTGAGTGCCTTGGCACTCCTCCACTGCCGTGAGGGGACGGTTTGGAGCTTGTCAGAGGCTCTAACGCCTCTGCGAAGATCAGCGAATCGCTCCCTAAGGAGCTTGAAGAATTGAGGGAGAGGGGTAACCTTTGAATAGGCGACCATGTTGTTTTCACAACCGGCCGCACGCGCGAGGGACCTAGCGAAACTAGCCAGCCGCTTCGTCCTTGAGGGCCTGGAAGGCAACTAGGACCTGATCGTCATGTACGATGTGCTGTAACTAAACGTAACTGTCTACGCTAGCCTCCAAGTTATCGAAGTTCTCGTTAGATTTCCCACCATAAGCATCGGGGAACTTAAGTTTGACTGGTTCTTTGCGAGGTCTGGCCTCGCCCTCAGCAGCGGCTACTACTTTGGCGCCCTCAATGGCACCCTCACAGAACTTCCCCACCTTGTCTCTCAATCGCCTGACTTCCCCTCCAACGTGGGTAACCATCTCGCGCGCAAACTCCGAAAACCGGACCGCATGGCCTTCAGGGCTACCTCTTGAGCTCTATTGGCTTGGCGTTCCTCCATCCAATTTGCGCTCAACACCTCCAGGTACCCCAACACCTTATCCCATTTGGCCTTGTCGTCTGCCTGAGCCTCCACCTCCTGCCTACAATCCTTCACCTTCGCCACCTCTGCGGTCAACCTGTTAACCTCATCCCTCCTTCTCTTCTTCTCCCTCTTCATTCTCAATTTCCACTCCAACTTTTTCTCCTCCTCTCTTTCTTGTCTTTCCAGGGGGCCATCCATTGCTGCTAGCTCCTGGGCTAACGTATCCCTCTCATCTTGGGGTACATAAAACTCTGCCTCCTCATCCTCCCCCAACGATAAATTAGCTATCCACTCGCTGATCTTCTTCTCCATTGCGGCATCCTCATTTGTCGTGCCACTGCTTTCTCCTCTCTCCTCTATATGTCTTCTCCCCTTTTCTTCTTCTTCTGCTGCTTCCTCTTCGGCAGCCTTTCTCTTTTCTTCCTCCTCCTGCTGAATCCTCATCATCTCTTCCTCCAATTTCTTCCTCTTCGCCGCCTGCTCCTCAGCAATCGCCTTCAACTTTCTTTCCTTATTTTCTCTCACTGAGGAGGCCATCTTCTCTTGTTGCTCCTGGGTGTAGGGGCTAGTGTTCTTCCCACTACGGGTCTCAACCAGGTGTCAGTGCACAACCGGACTAACGGTTCCAAACCTCACCACGTAGACTCTAACCCCTGACTGACAAACCTATAGACTCAATCTAAAGACTCACAGAATCCTGACAAGGATCCTGCCAACTAGGGTCTCTAGCCTAGACCTAACTATGGCTGTCACTACTACACATGTTGCTGATCAGGAGGCATTTAAGGAGATCCCCCGTAACTCCTCAGGAATTATTTAACGTCGCAGACAGGACGACGCGATCAGCAGGTCTCTCAACACTTAGACGGCCTGTTGTGCAGCCCACAGCTCGGATTTTGGGCCTACCATGCCACACCGAGCAGCCCGCCGGTCAGTCAGTACCGGTCCTTGGGAGGGTTCGTGTCCTCCGGGACAGTCGAGTCGTCAGACACAGTCTTTAGCCGTACTCAGCCCGTGTGGGTTTGGTCAACAAGGCCCTATCCTTCATCCACAGAGTTCTATCACCTAGACAGAAGAGACTCGATGCAGAAAGAAGGGACAGACAGATTGGACTCAGCAAGTACCACAGGGTGTGTGCACATCCATAGGGCGAGGGATAGGCTAAAGGCTTGGCGAGATTTTACCGGCTCCAGCTTGGTCAACGCCTTGGTCAACGCTGGTCGACGCTGCGGTCAACTCCCGGTCAACTCCGGTCAACGCCGGTCAACACCTCTGGTCAACGCCGGTCAACACCTCTGGTCAACGCCGGTCAACGCCGGTCAACACCTCCGGTCAACTCCGGTCAACGCCGGTCAACACTCCCGGTCAACCCCTCGGTCAGCTATGGCTGCCGGCTTCTCTTTCCTCACCAACCTCCCTCTTCTCTTCACCTTCCTCGCCTCCTTTCACCCCGGCTGTCTTCTTCTCTCTTTTTTTTTTTTTTTTTTTTGATCCGCTCTCTCTTCACCTCTCGGCTATGGCTTACCTCACCCTGCTCGGTCTCTCCCCCTTTGTCCTCTCTCACCCTCCTTCGTTACTCTGTGGTGACGCTTCGCGGCTATGGCCGCTATCTTCTTCTTCGTGGGACTGCACGGCACACTTCACAGGTACGTAACAGCCAAACTTGTATCGCTCATCTCTCTCTCTCTCTCTCTCTCTCTCTCTC